TATAAATTCCAAGGAAAGATTGCTTGCAGTTAACATCTTTGGCCACATCTGAGTGCTTTTGCAAAATATGACTTACAAGTTGAACAGATTTTTGAAAAGATTATTTCTTTGTTGATCAGAAGATGTTTTCTCTTTTTGGTATACAATTGTGATGTCTATTCTTGGTTGTCAACTTGACTACATCTAAAATGAACTATAATCCAGAAATGGAGGGCATGCCTATGAGATTTTTTTTTGGCTTGGTTTTAAGTGGGTGAATCCAGTTCTAGTCCAGACTTCTGAGGCAGGAAGACACACACCTTTGATATGCATCTTGAGGTGTGATGACACACCTTTAATCTGGGCCACACCTTCTGCTGAAAGCCTATAAAGACTTGGAAGGAAAAAGCTTTTGATCTCTGCCTGCTTGCTCTCACCTTGCTAGCAAGTTCATTCCTTCACTGGCATTAGAGCCTACTTCTTCAAGATCACAGCATCTACAGCAGACCAGCTGAGACATCCACGGACTGAGAAACTTCTGGATTCTTTTCTTTTTTTCTTTTTTTAAATATTTATTTATTATGTATACAATGTTCTGTCTGTGTGTATGCTTGCAGGCCAGAAGAGGGCACCAGACCACATTAAAGATGTGGTGTGAGCCACCATGTGGTTGCTGGGAATTGAACTCAGGACCTTTGGAAGAGCAGGCAATGCTCTTAAGCACTGAGCCATCTCTCCAGCCCCGAAACTTCTGGATTCTTGAACTTTCCATTCATAGCCAGTCATTGTTGGACTGACTGGATTACGGTCCCTAAGTCATTCTAATATATTTATATATAGTGTGTGTGAAGTAATATATATATATATATATATATATATATTATATATTATATATATCCATTTTATAAGTTCTAATTCTCTAGAGAACCCTGACTAATACAATAATGGCACATTCTTTGAGACATGCTTTCTCGTTTCTTCTATTTTTTTTTATGTGTATGGGTGTGTTGCCTATAAGTGCATCTATGTACTTGCATGCCTAATACCTAGGGAAGCCAGAAGAGGACATCAGCTCCCCTGGACCTGGAGTTAGAGAGGTGTTATGTGGGTGCTGGGAATTAAACCTAAGTCCTCTGGAAGATCAGCCAGTGCTCTTAACTGCTGAGTCATCTCTCCAGCTCTAATTTGAACATTTTAAATATAAATGGTCATTAGAAGTCATCCTGTAACAAAGATCATAATAGTGTGGACTTCACAAATACTTTGGAAATATTTTCAATGATTAAAAATGTTAGAAACTTAATTTATTTTTTAGAGTAGAAAAAAATTCCTAAGGGTATAAAATTGTGCCTTTGTTAATCTCTTTAAACAATATAGCATAATAACTGCTTTCTTCCTCCCAGAATTTAGTTCTGTCTTCTCTACCTACCTATGTTCTGCCCTATCAGGCCAAGGCAGCTTTTTTTTTTTTAATTTATTTACCAATACAAGCAACACACAGAGGGGACTTCACACCATGTATGCATGTGGATCTTGTGTGTGCCTGGTGCCCATGGAACATGGAAGAAAATGTCAGAGCTAGATCTGGAGTTATAGATGGTTGTGAGCAGTCATGAGGGGTACTGAGAACTGATTCCCTGTCCTCTGCTAGAGAAACAAATGCTCTTAACTATTGAGCCATCTCTCTGGCCCCTCTTATTTTTTGTGTATGTGTGTGGTTATATGTGGTTGTTTATGCATCTGTGCACATGTGAAGGGAAAAAACATTCTTGAGCATTCTTCAGGTACCCCTCTACCTTTGTGTTTGAGACAGAGTCTCTTACTGGTGTAGAACTCAGTGGGATCTGCCCATCGCTCCTAGTGCTGGGATTACAAATTCATACACATACTTACTTTTTTTTTTTAAAGCATTGATTCTAGGGATCAAACTCAAGTTAATTATCTCACTTTACCAATGAATGATGTTATCTTCATAGAGGCATAAAAAAACAAAAATAACTTAATCTTATTTTTATTTATTTTGTTTTGTTTCTTTTTCCCAAGACAGGGTTTCTCTGCGTAACAGCTCTGGCTGTCCTAGAATTCACTTTGTAGAGCTGGCTGTCCTCAAACTCACTGAGATCCACCTGCCTCTGCCACTCAAGTGCTAGGATTAAAGGCGTGCGCCACCACTGACCATTAGCAATTTAATCTTACAGTTCCCTGTCAATCATTAACAGCAGATTGTCAGGTAATACCGACAAGATGCTGGTACTTGATAATTACAGTACACAATCACCAGATTACAGATCTTGTATGTGACAGCTGTTTAGACCTTTAATACAACAGCACATACTCTAATAAAATAGTGTTTGAAATCACACACAAGAGAAATGTCTGGCAAGGTGTGCCTGTCATCCCAGCACTCTTGGCGAGACAAGAGGATTATGAATTTCAGCGCAGCTGGGGCTATATAGTGAGACCCAGTCTTAAAAGTATTCATATTAAATCAAATCAAAATCAAAACACACACACACACAGGAACGTGTCTGTTTTCTCCATCAGGTTGTATTATTATATGGAAATCCTAGACAAGAGTACTTAGGAAAAGGAAAGGAACTGTGAAACTCAGTTTCAATTTTGATACAGCGATGGCTCAGAGTATTAGACTGAAAAGGAGCAAAATGAGGAGGCATTTAATAATCTCTTTGGCTATCCAAAATGATTAGCTGATACTAGACTAGTGTCATTAGTCAAAATATTCTATCACTTGACAATGTAAGTTTTTCTATGTGCTAAGTTATATGCTAGGTAGGCCCTTGGAGGGCAAAAGTTCTCACCCAAACATTGGTTTCAGTTTTATTAGGGAAATAGCAAATGATTACAAGGTGATTATAGGGAGCAGGAATTTATGATAGCCTTGCTAATCTAATCAGATTTCATTGAGAAAATCTACTTCTCTGGTCAGAATGTTTCTCAGGGATGATGTTGATACATGATTTTAGTTCCAGCAATGGGGCTGGGAACAAGTGGATCTTTGTGGCTTTTGAGGCTGGTCTATGCATAGTGAGTTCCAGGACAGCCAGGGTCACGTACAGAGACCCTGTTTCCAAAAAACAAAGTAAATAAATAATAAACAAATAAATGAATAAATAGAATGCTTCTTGGTAAATAAACTTGCAAAATACAGATTATCACAGAGGTAACTTTGATGTTGTATATATGTTTTACTTTTGTTCCATAAAGTGAGTTTTTAAACATTACATTGAATTAGCTGTGTGGTGGTGGTGGTGAATGCTTTTAATTCCAACACTTGGGAGGCAGAAGCAGATGGTTCCCTGAGTTCGAGGCCAACCTCTGCTGAGGAATATTAGTTATGCTAAGTGGAAACAAAGAGTCAACTATGGCTTTTTTTTTTTTTTAATCTAGTACTAACCTCATGAACTCACATCATAATATTGTAAGGTGATTGGTAGTTTTTGGTAGTTTTCGTCATAGAACTCCCCACTTCAATTATATATTGAAGACTAAATTTGAGGGCAGAAAGTGTTTATCTAGGAGGACTTTATTCTAATAATACAGGCTACTCTTGGGTTTCAAAAGCTTAAGAATGACAGAGTTTCTTGCAAAGGCCATCTCTAGTCTCACATCTACCTATATTTTCTTTACCCAGCCAACTACAGTCTTCTTTCTACAGTAATTTCATGTTTCTTGTGCACAATTCCCAACTCAAAGACTTAGATTTTTAGTGTATTTTGTGGATGCAAAAAAAGCAAAACAAATACATCTCTCACCTTAAAGGGAATAAGAGCTTATTGTGGAGCTATATTTGAATGCCCATGGCCCAGGGAATGGAGATTTGGGTTCTACCAAATTCTGGGTATAACATGGAAGTAGTTTCATGATATTTTTATAGTTTTAAAGAACAAAGACAGCCATAAGTCAAGTCAAGCTTCAAATACATTGGTGTACAATACCGAGAAAGTTCCAAGATGGGAGACATCTTTATATGGCTGAAGATACTACCTGATAACATTCTTAGTTGTTGAGTTGGTTCTTGAGTTAGCTGACTAGGAGTCAGCTAAGTTGAAAGGTTCCAAAAGATTTTTATCTGTTAGTCACAGAATGTTAGATCCAACGTAAACATTGGACAGGAGGGGCTATTCACTGGGCAAAGTTAGGCCTAGAACATGTAATTAGCCAGCCTCTGGACCTGTATGTAACATTCCAATCTCTCCACATTACTGCAGTGCTAATCAATCTTTGCAGACACAGCCTCCTTCCTGAAATTGCTTCACAACTCTTTCTTCAGGCACACTTAAATTTCTTGAAAGGCATTTCCCAAAGTTTAGGTTAAAAATACTCTAAGCATTCTGGTTTCTTTTGTAACGAAACTGGTAGGCTGGAAAACTGACATTTTAGATATATGAACACTGTTCACGCTAAAACTTCTTTTACCTCTTTTCTGAAGGCCACCTTGTAGTTGAGGTGAAGAGGACCCTGTAGGAACTGCTTCCCATTTACTTTTAGTAGCTGACCGAAGTTGAACTGAGTGAGAGAAAGTTCCCACGAGGGGGCGCCATGTTACTTAACAAAGAGACCTAGGCAAACTCCCTGCTTCCAGAACTCAGTGGGACTCCAGCCTGATGCCAGCTTGTCTGAAGTGGGCCTGGCACAATCAATTTCAAGTTGGCTGGCTTTGACTTTGGTGTCCCTCCGTGGTCTGAAAGCGGAGAAGCGAATTCAACGTTTTTCCTTAAACAGAAATGTTCGTAGGAGAGAACACATTTTCTATTGGAGGGTCTCCTTGTTAAAGTTAAGAACTTCAAGGCGCCCTTTGTACGGAACACTAAGTTCTCGGCTCTGTGCTGGCTGTGCAGATGAAAATGTGTCGGGTATGACGCAGGCTTACCCACGAAAATTCAGCGCAGAAATCGAGGAGGGTTTGCCCATAAAAAAAATGGCGCGGACGCGTCAAGCCGGTATAATCACAAGCTCACAAGCCGGGCTGTGGGCGTGTACGACTTCAGACCAAAAGCGGATGTTATTATTCACTTCCGGGTGAGCCCTCTCCGGCGCCATCTTGTCTTGTTCATGAAGAAGTAGAAGCATCGAAAGGGTTGGAGAGAATTACAGGAACGGTGGCGACAGCGGTATTCCGGAATCGGAGCGGGTAAGTGTTGAGCACTTTACACGGAGGCTCTCGCCGGACTATTAAGAGCCTCCCGGTTGGTGTGGCGAAGGTAGCGAGACTTAAGCAGGCTGCGGACGCTGCTTGGCGCGACCGCCGGAATCTCATTCCGAGAAGCCCCGGTGCCCGCCTGAGCTCGCCAATCGGAGCGCCGCTCTCGCCGAAGAAATGAGTGTTTTTGGTGAAAGAGCGTGTTCACGATCGCTTCTTGGAACTGAGAGTTTTCTCCGGGAAGGCAGGGGACTAATTGTTGGGCTCCTGACCGGCCGTTAAGCACTGCGCGTGCGCAGTGCAAACACTTGCGGGGCCAGCAGCGCAGAGGGGCGGAGGAGGCGGGGGCCGGGACCTGGAACTTCTACCCGGCGACTCCGGACTACGCAGGCCCGGGGAAGGCGGTTGCGTCTTGTTAAAGTATCATTTTGTTGCCTGGCTTGCTTTTGTGTTTTTACCCAGTGATGGATATTTTGTGTTAAGCATCACAAAGGAGGCTAACAGTATCCTGTGTTTCAGTTGTTTCGTTCTTTTGTGGATCATGCTATCGAAGAAAATTGGGCCTCTGAGCAGATTTTGACTGTGCATGATTAAATTAACAGTCTAAATCTTTAATATTTCACTAATCTTTTCTTTTCTTGACCCTAAATAAAACAAAATAGTATTGAGAGCTCTTGAGTACAGCAAGTCAAAACTACAAAACTAAACCAGATTTTATTTGTGTGTTGTTTTTTTTTTTTTTTGAGCACCAAGAGAGGATGTAGTAAGTGAGTTCTAGGATGTGTGTGTGTTTATGTATGTATATATCGACATATATCTATATATCCTTTTTTTTTCTTTTCTGGAACTCGCCCTGTAGACCAGGCTGGCCCCGAACTCACAGAGATCAGTCTGTTTCTGCCTCTCTAGTGCTGGGATTAAAGGCGTGCGCCAGCACCGCCGGCTAGGATCTTCTTAAGAGGCATTATTTAAAACATATGTAAACTTTATATTTTAGGAAATTCTTCTGTATTTTATGGCCCCGACTGGCTTGGAACCCAGAGATCCACTTGTCTTTGCTTTGGAATGCTGGGATTAAAGGCATTTAGCGCCACATCAAGCCTTAGAATTAACTGTCGAAAAATTGAGCAGATAGTTCATAACTTCCCCCAGCTGTTACATTTCCCTCAGCAGCATATGCTTGCATGAAACTTTTGTTAGAATTTGGAACAGTGTTGCTACATTATTAACTGATGACTTACTCCTGTATTCTTAGTTTAAAAAATCTCTAAAAACATTAAAAACAATAAGGTTTGTTTGTTTGTTTGTATGTGGAGAGGGTATCTGTGGAGGCCTGAAGAGAGTGTCAGATCCCCTGGCATTGGAGTTACAGATGGCTGCCATGTGGGTGCTGGGAACTGAACCTAGTTTCTTCTCTGCAAGAGCAGCCAGTGCTCTTAACTGCTAAGGCATTTTTCTAGCCATTATATATTTTTTTTAAAAGAAAGGTTATTATTTTATGTCTGGATGTCAGTATTATATTTTGTTATCGAATTCTGCTTTTGACCATTGCTGAGTCTTTCCGATGTCTACTGTTCCCCTCCAGTTCTTTATTTGATTCTTTCGTTTCTTTGTTACTCTGTCACTAAGGCTGATCTGGAATGCTCAGCAATCTTCCTGCCTCAGCTTCTTGAATGTTGAGATTACAGATATGTGCTATCACAGAGCTTTGTTTTTTTTTATTTCAGTTGGGGCAAAGACAGGGTCTTATAGCCTCCAACTCAAAATCTTCTTGCCTTTGCTTCTTTACCTCCTTAGTGATAAGATTCAAAATTGCCAGCTATAAACGGTTTTAGAACATTACATTTTAATTAGATTTTAATTATTGTCACACAATCTATAAGTGACTTTTGTAAATATTAGTGAACATCATTTGAACAAGTCACTTTGGGAAACTCAAAACAGTTGAAGGGCTTTTTTTCCTTTTAAGATCTATTTTTATATGTGTCTGCACTAGTGCACAAATGCCATACATGCGTGTGTCTGTTTGTGTCTGTGTTTGTATGTGCATATTCGTGTGAGTGTCTGTGGAGGTCAGAAGATGATGGGTTCCCCTGAATCTGGAATTTCAGGAAGTAGAAGTTGTTTCATGTGTGCTGGGATTGAACTTGGGTCCTCTGTCAGAGTAACCAGCCCTTCTTTAACCAATGAGCCATTTCTTCAGCTCTGGGTTTGGTTGGTTTTGCTTGTTTCTCACTTGCAGTTCTAATAGTAAAGAAAGAATAAATGATGATGGTTCTGGTTGTTAGTATTTACGGGTCACTGTAACAGATTACTAGACGGCTTAAAAATAACTGAAATATACTCTTTCATGGTTCTAAAGGGAAAAAGAGTGAAAGCAAAGTTTGAGAGGCATCTTCCTTGCTTCTGGATGGCACCTGTCTTTCTGTTCCTTAGCTTGTAAACTTGTCCAGTCTTTGGCATCGTAGGCATAGGACATTTCTCCATATGGATGCTTATGTCTGTCCTCACTAGGGATTTGGTTAGTTCTTACCCTAATCAAATGTGACCTCATCCTAAATTGACTACTGTATCTGCCCAGACTGGGTTTCCCAATAAGGAAAGATATCACGGATTAGGACTTCAGCCTGTCTTTGGGAAGACTACAGGTTGGTCCATAATTGGTGTTTTCCAGCCGTGTGATACTTTTGATGATCAGATGCGATCCTTGGTTAGTAGCTTTTCTCTTCTTCCCAGATTAAAGTTGTTTTTTTTTTTTTTTAAACATCACAATTAACTTGACCCTGTGAAGGGAAATATTGTCAACAAAGTCTTGTTGCATGAATCATCAGTAGTCAGACTTTTCCAAACTTGAAAAGTTGATAATCTATGAAAATAATTCTAACAGGAGACTGAATAAGTTGATTCAATCTTTTAAAAGAATAGTTGCATTTATTTTATTTTTGTATGATTGTGAGTATATGTGTGGACACATGTACCATGACATTTTGTGGAGATCAGAGGGCTGCTTGCAGGAATTGGGTCTCATTTAGCGTTACGTGGGTTTCAGGGATTAACTTCAGGCAGATTGCCAGGCAGAGTGGGAAGTGCCTGTACCTACTGAGCCATCTCATGGTTTTCAGAATTTTTTCCCTCTAGGGGGATATGAGGGTGTTGGGGCTGATTATATAGGCCTTATATATGCTGGACAGGTTTCACTACTTAGCTGTAGTCCCTAGGCAATAGAAATCAAATTGTGATATTAAAGAAATAAGTAGTAATATTAAAATGTACTTTTCATGGTTAAAGTTATGTATTTAGCGGGTAATGTAAATGAATGAGTAAAATACCTAACCGTTTAGTATAGTCAATTTGGACACACAGCGAGGCTGACCTTGAACTCAGAGATTTTTCCCTTTAGTGCTGGCTCCCATACCTGGCATCATAATCTTTGTGCTTTGACTTTTTTTTTTTTTTTTGCTTTTTCGAGACAGGGTTTCTCTGTGGTTTTGGAGCCTGTCCTGGACTAGCTCTTGTAGACCAGGCTGGTCTCGAATTTACAGAGATCCGCCTGCCTCTGCCTCCCAAGTTCTGGGATTAAAGGCGTGCGCCACCACCTCCCGGTTCTGTGCTTTTGACTCTTGTATGAAAGGAGTCATAGTATTCTGTTTTAGAGGTTTATATTTGTCCGTTAGGATAAAGATTTTATGGTGAACATGAAGAAATAGAGAATAGGGCTTCCAATTTTTGTCATCAAATCAGTCTTGCTCTTTTGTTAAGTAATTGGTAAACCCCTTTAGTAAGTGTTGTGATGGCTTAAAACATACAAAAGTGTGTATTACATGCTTGATTGGTTCATTCTGTTTTTCTAATTGAACTTTTGCCTAAATTCTGTTCATTTTGCTTATTTTTCTCTAGACTCCATTGGTTTCTTGAGATAGAGAGTCCTTGTGTAACTCTGGCTGTTCTGGAACTAGCTCTGTAGACAAGTCTGGCCTCCAGCTCACGGAAATCAACCTGTCTCTGCCTCCCAAGTGTGGGATTAAAGGTGCCACTACCTCCTGGCTTTCTATAGACTTTTGAGTGAAATCAAAGTTAAGTTTTTATGACCAGCAAGTTGTCCCCTTAGAATTAGATTTTTAAATTTATTCTATAGCCTCTAAGAAAATGAACAAAGGCTCCGTGGTGTATCTTCTGTCTAGGTGACTTCTGCGTGATTTTTTTACTTCCTGTATAAGCCTTTATGGATTTTGCGTCTCACTTTCCCTTGATTCCTTTTGTCTTAAGGTTTATGTATTTCTAAAACGTATACATTCATGCACACAATAAAATAGTCTAAAGAATACAAAAGGTATGAAGTAGACGTTCCCTGATAACTTTTTTCTTGCTTCCTTGAACTTTCAGGAGTCTTATATACATGCTATAATATAAAAAACAAGCTTCAAGTGGTAGTTTTCATGCTGTAATTTTCTTTCATTGAGTTTGTGTGTCAGTACATGTCAGTGTATAAAGCTCTTCTCATTTTAATTGCTAAGTAGAGTCCATTTTAATTTATTTACTTTTAGTTAAATTTCACTAAAAGTACATGTTTACCAGTAGAACATTTGCCAAGATTTTTAAAATAGTTTTCTTGTGAATATATTCATCCATGGTTGGGGCCTCTAACCAGAAGGCTGTGTTTATAATTTTACTAATGCTGGATTGTTTTCAAAAAAGACCCAGGTAGTTGGTGGGCAGCCTTTAACTCATTCAATAGTTATTTGAAACTAAATCAGGATTCTTTTGGTTTTGTTAAAACATTTTAGTTGGGGGCTGGAAGAATGGTTTGGAGGTCAAGAGCTTTTCTTACAGAATACAGAGGTTCAATTCTCAGCATCTACATGACAGCTCCCAACTGTCTGTAACTCTGGTTCCTGGGGATCTGTCAGCCTCACACAGACATACATGTAGACAAAACACCAAAATAAAAATAAATAAATAATTAAAAGAAAACATTTTAGTGACTCCTGATACTTGGACTTTTCTTATCATCTTTGCTCCTCTACCCCATATTTTACATTGATTTTTCTCAATCTAAATCATTAAACACCATTCCTGAATAGTAGCTCTTGAGAAAAGCTTGGGAAGACTGTGTGTGTGTGTGTGTGTGTGTATACATGTGTGCATGCACACAGGTACTGGGATCAACTCAGGAGGTCAGGCCTGGCAATACATCTCCTTACCCACAGAGCCGTCTTGGTGGCCTCTGTTACTGTTTCTAAAGATTTATTTTTATTTATTTTTAGATGTTTTTATTTTATGTGTATGGATGTTTTTCATGCATGTACTTATGTGTGCCACTTGTGTGCCCATAGATGTCAGAAGAAGGCTCTAGATCCTCTGGAGCTGGAATTAGGGATAATTGTGAACCGAGGGAAGAGCAACAAGTGCTCCTAGCTGCTGAGACATCTCTGCAGCCCCTAAAAATTTTGAAATTATGTGTTAGGTATGTATCTATGGGTGTGTGTAGCTGTTCTTTGAGGTCAGCGGTGTCAGAGCTCTGGAGCTGGAATTAAAGGTGATTTATGAGCACACTCCATGTGGGTGCTGGAACCAAACATGGGTTCTCTGCAAGATCAGTTTGCACTCCTCATTACTGAACCATTTTTGCCCTCGTTGCTAGTGTTTTTCATGGGTGGCTGTGGTAGGGTGCAGGGGCATGGTTTGAGACAGGGTCTCATTGTGTGGTTCTGGTTGGCCTAGAGCTCACAAATACCATAATTTTTCAGCCTCCTGAATGCTGGGGTTAAAGATGTGTTCTACCACCAAGCAGTGGTGGCGCACGCCTTTAATCCCAGCATCTGTGAGGCAGAGGCAGGAGATCTCAGTGAGTTTGAGGCCAGCCTGGTCTACAAAAGCTAGTTCTAGGACAGCCAGGGCTGTTAATACAGAGAAACCCTGTCTCGGAAAAACAACAACAAAAAAGTGTTCCACCATGCTCAATTTGTTGTTGGTTCTTGAACAGAGTTAGTTAGACAGTGTTTGATAAAGTATTATATATATTGGACTTGTAGGAATTACATGCTTTATGAGTTTTCAGGCTTGTTTACAGAAAAGTGAGTGGTATAAGGATCTGCCATCCCCTTACTCATAACTTAGAGTATCCCACCTTCTTTTCATGATGTTTAAATGTTAAGGGTCTTAGAAACTGTCTTACATTCTGACTTTGTCTGATTACTGTTTCTAATACTGTTTTATGTCATTCTTGAATACCTAATAATTTTTTTGTGTTGGAAGCTCAGTTCATTAAACATCTGTTGTGAGACGACTTAGTGCTTTAGAGAATATAATACTAGATATTGTAAATCATATCTTATGTGGGTGACACTGGAAGTCTTTAAATTTATAATTTCATCAACTTACGAAGTTTTCTTAATCAGGTATTACATTTGTTATAATGTGTTTATTGTTATTATTTGCTGTAATACAAGAACAAGTTTTCTTCATCTGCTACAGCTATTTGTTACTATTTTAAAGGAGCTTGGGGATTGAATGAATCACTTTATAATTAAAATAATTGGATTTCTAGAGATATTGGGAAATTATATATACACACACATTATATAATTATATATTTGCCTTTGAGCATGGCTGATTAAAACTGTACTTTTAACTAAACTCTGATACTAGCATTAACTTAAACTTTTCTGTTCTTGCTTTTCAACCTAAATCTAGTCATCTCTGGCAATATTTTGAATAGAGTTGTAGCTCTTTCATTGCGTAGAAATATCATCATGCAATTTCTGTTGCATAAATTTTGAAAATGTAAAAAGTCCCAGCTTTAACTGTGCTTGCTTTGTTTAAGTAGAGACTTGAAGGATGTGGGATCAAGGAGGACAACCTTGGCAGCAATGGCCCTTGAACCAGCAACAGTGGATGCAGTCATTTCAGCACCAGCAGGATCCAAGTAAGGAAAATGCTCCGTTTGGAATTGGGATGGTTGGACATTTGGAAATGGGTGGGATGTAGATGATCACATTCACATTGGCTTATTGAATCCTTCATGGAAAGAGCTAGCTGTGCAGTCCAGTAGTGAGTGCATTCCTGCTGTTGGCTCTCTTTTATTACTCTTTGCTCTTTAGGTCTTTTGTGGGGCCTACCACTCAGTTCCCCAATAAATCATGCACAGAGGTTTGTTATTACTTATAAATGCCTGGCCTTAGCTTCTCTTATTTCTAACCAGCTTAACTTAAATTAGTCTGACTACATTTTGCCTCTGGGCTTTTCCTTTTCTTCTGTATATTGTACTTTCACCCTTACTCAGTGGCTGGCTGAGCCTGGCCTCTAGCATCCTCCTCTCCTCATTCTCTTGCTCATCTTTTCCTTCTTCCAGAGTTCTCTATTTATTCTCTCTTCCTGCCAGCTGCACCTATCCTTTCTCCTGCCTTACTATTGGTGGTTCAGCTCTTTATTAGACCATCAGTTGTTTTAGACAAAGAATCCCAGCTTCACAGAGTTAAATGCAGCACAAACAAAAGCAGCACACTTTACATTGTTAAACAAATGTTCCAGAGCATAAACAAATATAACCCACCTTAAAGTAATACTTTACAGCACATTGTTCTTAAAAATGCTTTCTTGAAGTACAGAAAGTTTTGTGACAGTTTTACACTTTTAAACTGATAGCGTTTTAGCACCTAACTTAGTTATGGCTAGTTTTGTTTCATCATTTTTTTTTTATTTGACATTTCCTTAGGAAGATATTCTTTCTTTTTTTGAGCAGCCTTATAATGTAGTACAGACTGGACTAGAATGTTCTATATAGCCCAGGCTAGCCTCAGACTCACAGTGCTCCTATTTCCACCTCCCAAGTTTTAGATTACATATGTATATAACATCCAGCTTGTTTTTTTCTTTTAAATAGCTATGTAGCGTTTTTAATTTTTTATTATTATTATTATTATATGTTCATTGGTGTGAGAGTCAAATGCCCTGGAACTGGAGTTACAGACAGTTGTGAGCTGCCATGTGGGTGCTGGGAATTGAACTCAGGACCTCTGGAAGAGCAGCTAGTGCTCTTAACCGCTGAGCCATCTCTCCAGCCCGCTATGTAGCATTTTAATGTAGGATTTTATTCTAATATAAACCAATAGTGATAGCAACAGCAAGACTTCTGGATTTGTTGTTGTTGTTGTTTAAACCTTTCCAGGCTTAAAAGAGTTCATTTGAATGGTCCACTCTGCCTCAGAAGGCAGAGAGGGATCAATTACTCACTAAGCAGACTGGCTATGGAGACTAGCATTATCGGGGAACTCTGGGTTTGATTGAGAGACCCTCCCTCAAAGAATAGTGTGAATGAGATAAAGGAAGAGATTACCATCGGACCTCCAAATGTACATAAATCCATACACATGTGGATATACATAGGTGTATACCACACAAATATATATATATATATATATATATATATATATGAAAAGAAGAAAAATAATGGAATATTGCAATGCTTGTTTTACATAGATGTGCTATTCTTTTAACTTCTTCATTCTGAATGCTAAGTTCTGTTAATTTACTTTAGGCCAGATTGACTGGGCTGCTTTGGCCCAAGCTTGGATTGCACAAAGAGAAGCTTCAGGACAGCAAAGCATCGTAGAACAGCCACCAGGAATGATGCCAAATGGACAGGATATGCCTACAATGGAATCTGGTCCAAATAATCATGGGAATTTTCAAGGGGATTCAAACTTTAACAGAATGTGGCAACCAGGTTTGTTATTTATGTTTCCAAATTTTAGGATGTTTTAGAATAAAATGAGGATTAGTAGTATATTGTTTTCCTTGTTTACTTCTATGGCTTCTTGAAATTAATGGTCTTTAAAAAATAGACTTGTCAAAATTTGATTTTGACATTTTTGTGGTTAAATTATTTTGTACACAGTCTGATGGCATTGTGGCACTCAGTTTGATTTTTTTCTTGGTTCTTCATTCCTAGGCTGACAGGGGCTGGGAACACTCTGGAAACTTCACTTGGCATCTAGGGAAAAGAGAGCACTCTTTGTCTCTCTCTTGCAACCTCTGGCCTTTTCAGAAGCAGCACTGGCAGAGTAAAACATGTCTAGCCTCTAATTACAGAAAAGTTGTGCCACTGTGTGACAAACAAGCCTGTCGGCTATGCTCTGCCCCCATCGCCCACCTACCTTTCTCCTCTCTCCCTTTTTCAGATAGTCATGATTTTCCATAAATTCTTGGCTGTTTGGTTTTATTTATTTTTTAAGCTTCACAGTATAATTTAGATTCCTTAATGCTAATTCAGTTTTCTATGATTGTGTTAATATTTTTAATAACCACATCACACTATTTGTAGAGATTTCACATTTGAATATCATAGCCTCCGTTTGCTATTATTTATTCATTTTTAAAATGTATTTATTTATTATGTGTGTTGGTGTTTTACCTGCAAGTATGTCTGTATCCCCTGTACTAGATCCCCTGGAAGTAGAGTTACAGACAGTTGTGAGCTGCCATGTGGGTGCTGGGAATTGAACCCAGGTCCTCTGGAAGAACAGCCAATGCTCAATGCTCCTAACCACTGAACCATCACTTCAGCCCTTCACTTATTATTTCTATTATTAACTGGTGAGAATAGAAAACATAGGATATATTTTCAACATTATTTTTAAAAGAGAAACAAATATTCTCATCTTTGATAATGTGAGATGGTTGATTTTTGTCTTCTAAAAGGCTAAATTTTCCCAATTTTGAAAATATTTTAGTTCTCAAGTTAAAGTTTACTCATTCTGGCATCTTTGATTCCCCTTTCACTCCTGCTACATTTAGTTTGACCCTAATGTTTTTTTTTTGTTGTTTTTGTTTTTTTTTTTGTGACACTAGGAACTTACTAACCTCGGTGCCTCAGTTTCCCCTTCTAAAACAGATGATACCAGAATTTCTCCCTACCTCACAGGGTTGTTGTGAGGATAAATGATGTATTCATGAAAAAGGAGTAATATAAAATTTGAAGTATTTTTATGTTGTTGCCATTGAACAGTAACTGAGAAGTTGATCCACGAGTTGCTTTGGAATTTGTTAAATTTGTTAAAAATACTCTTTGGAGCGGAGTGTGGTCTCACATGCCTCTAGTTCCAGTACTAGAAAGGCAGAGGCAGAAGGGGCTCATGTTTAACTCCTGTCTTGGCTATGTAGAAAGTCCCAGATTAACTTGGTCTGCATAGCAGGATTCTTGTCTCAAATATCAAAACAAAATAGTAACGTTGGGCATTTTGTTTAGAGTGTGAATTAGAATGGAGTTAACTTATTTGAATTATGTATGAGATAGTGTTTCATTCGTTCCTTATTTTTAAGATAATACAAAAGGAATTTGACAAAAATGTCATAAATTGCTTTTTAAAATCTGTTGTTTCTGTAGCTTTCTTGAGATCTTAAAAAATTCATTGATTTTGTTATAACTGCCTGTTGAATGTCTTTATGCCTAAATCCTGAATAGAATGGGGAATGCATCAGCAACCCCCACACCCCCCTCCAGATCAGCCATGGATGCCACCAACACCAGGCCCAATGGACATTGTTCCTCCTTCTGAAGACAGCAACAGTCAGGACAGTGGGGAATTTGCCCCTGACAACAGACATATGTTTAACCAGAACAATCACAACTTTGGTGGACCACCCGATAATTTTGCAGTGGGGCCGGTGAACCAGTTTGACTATCAGGTGAAAGATATTTTGTTACTTTACTATCATAGACATGCACGTAACTCATTCTTTGGAAATGTCTCGTCAAGAATTCCTAAGATGTGTGTCATTTTCAGGATTGTACGAATAAGCACATAAACAGGGTCAGAATTTATCAGCGTTTATCAAAATCATTAGATTTTTAGTTTATTAGGAAAATGGTACAAGCAAATAGGGAAAAATTAGGATAAAGTGAAAAGTGTATAAGTGCCAAATAGTTATATGATGTCTTGTCTTCCAGTTTCAATATGATATGTTTAAATATTATAGTTGAGTGCATTATATGTTAATAGATTATGAGTGAGACACAAAGCACAGTGAACGTAGATTATTCCTAACTGCCATGCCTTCTGTGTAAAATTATTATTGTTTTTCTCGTTTTTTTTCCCCATTTATAGAACATATTAATGGAATTGTGTTCATGGCTTCCTCTGTGGCATTCAGCTCATTTCTAGGGACGTAGAACTCTATGGAGAATAGTGTTATTGTATGGGCTTTATTTTCTTAATCTGCTTTGCTAGGGTCTACCCTTAAGAATCTAAATGTCAACATGAGATTGTGGCGCACGCCTTTAATCTCAGCACTTGGGAGTCAGAGGCAGGTGATCTCATGTTAGTTCGAGGCCAGCCTGGTTTACAGAACTAGTTCCAGGACAGCCAGGGCTACACAAAGAAACCTTGTCTCGAAAAACAAACAAAACGTTTAGATGTCATTGTGACAAAACAAGTTTTTATGTACTACACTGTCAAAATAAAATTTTAGAAACTGCTTATTTAAGCATTAATTGTAAGGTGAATTTGATAATATGTTCACCTTGAGACGGTAGTCCTCTCATTAATGCATGATTAGATTCTTGTGAATTCACTCTTGGAATTCACGTGTGACGAGCTTTGCTCCATTATGAAGGGATGTGGTGACAGGAGCCCTAGTTGAGCCTAATGAAGCCTGTGTGAACAAGGCTGAGCCTGTTGGCAACTTTCTCCTAAAAGGCCTCTCTAAAAGTAGCAGAGCTTCGAAATAGTCATTTACTGTAATAGATAATTCAGTATCATTTGGGGGTTACAAAAAACAAATCTTGCACCACTTTAGAAACAGCCTGAATTCACTAGCAGTGGGAAGTTGAAATTGACAACAACTACAGAATTATTATGTAGCTTTTGGTTAAATAAAATTGACTAAGTGTGGTGGTACCTCCTGTCACCCCAGCGCCTACCTCTGAGACTCTTTGAGTTTCAGACCAGTCTTGGGCACATTGCAAGTTCAAAGCTAGCCAGGGCTATGTAGCGAGAGCTTTCCTTTGAGAGAGGGGGTAGGGGAAGAAGAATGTTGAGGTCTTTGTGGTGATAGGGTGTATAAATGAATTTAGACTGCAAAGGTTCATATACATAAATAGAACTGTGTATGTGTACACGTGCCTTTCTGTAGTTAAATAATCTATAAGCTGGGTTATAGAAAGCTTTGTATTTGCATAGGCAGAAAATCTTTATCTTTCCTGAGAAAAATAAGCTTAGGTTCTTGGGGTTACAGAAATACTGTCGGATGTTAGAACCATGGAATTCTTGGATTTGCTGCACACATGGATTTCTACTGTCCCATTTCATAACACGTGTGTGTCCCAGAGGGGTATATGTACTAAACTGAAGAAAATTAAAATGCAATACTCTTTCAGCATGGGGCTGCTTTTGGTCCACCGCAAGGTGGATTTCATCCTCCTTATTGGCAACCAGGACCTCCAGGACCTCCGGCACCTGCACAGAACCGAAGAGAGCGGCCACCATCATTCAGGGACCGGCAACGTTCACCAATTGCTCTTCCTGTGAAGCAGGAGCCTCCACAAATTGGTAGCTATTTAAATATGTCCCGTGAACCACACTAGCATGATAACTTTATCACTGTAAAAACCTTTTTTTGGTTTCCTAAGTTGTTCTAGTATCTCTTTAATGTGGTAGAAATAATGGTATTTAAAAGCCCTATCATAGTCACGAATCTGAAACAAAAAACGAGAGAGCTACTGATCTAAATGTAAAAAGCATTGCATAGTCTTGTTTTTTTTTTTTTCAAATTATTTGCCTTAAACAGTAGTTTGTAATTAAAGATATAAATTTTTGCTAACCTTCAGAGTTGATAGTTCAGTGTTCTCTGTCTTGGGTCTCCTTCTAGTCTTAGTTATGAGATATATTTCTGTCACATTGGTTTCCTTTAACTATTTACTTCCTATGAGTATTTTAACAACAACAAAATCAATTTTTAATTACCATTAATGTTAGTAATGACAAGTTATATATTTAACCCATGTTTTATATCGAAAGTTTCAAATCACCTACCATTTAATGGGCCAGGAAATAGAACTTTTAACACCTTAGGAAGATTCTAACTTTACTGCTTTTTAAATTTAACTAGATGAATTCTTAGTATGAAAATGAACTATATCTTTGTCTGACTCTGGTCTCTTGTCATATTTAAGCAAGCAGCTTAGTGTAAGAATTTGGGTCTGAATTAAGCCTTCATCACTGGATGAAGGCTTTTTGACCCCGAGCAAACACTTGGCTTTATCTCATTGAACTTTAATCTCCTCAGCTACAAAAGAGGTTGAACAGTAGTAGTGATCTCAGGACTTTTGCATGCCTTAAATGAGGTGACACTTTAACACTCTCTTGTGTCCTGGCAGAAAGCTTTAGAACGCGCTCCCTCCTGCTATTCAAAGGAATAGCTCTTAAGGAACAGCATTAAAGGAATTTTATATGGGCCCATTGCAATTATAGAAGTTCAAAACTTTATTCGATTATTAGAGTTTTACTTAACTGACCTGTGAATTTTTTTTTCTTTACATGAAACAGATGCAGTAAAACGCAGGACTCTTCCAGCCTGGATTCGTGAAGGCCTTGAGAAAATGGAACGTGAAAAGCAGAAGAAATTAGAGAAAGAAAGAATGGAACAGCAGCGTTCACAATTGTCAAAAAAAGAAAAGAAGGCCTCAGAAGATGCTGAAGGAGGAGATGGCCCTCGTTTACCTCAGAGAAGTAAATTTGTAAGTGGATCCTGACATGAAACTGATAATTTTGACTATGTGAAAAGTGGCCTAAGCCTTCAGAAAGAGATTCATTTTCTTGAACATTCTTGGGACAAGTATATTGACGTTTGGGGTTTGTTGATGTTATTTTGTGTTTGTTTCACTGAGATAGGGTGGCCTCAAACACTTTCATTGACTGCTCTTGAACTCACTACCCTTCAGTTTCCAAAGTGCAAGTGTGATTCTTAAGATGTTGGGGGGTGGTCTGTTCCCCCCCCCACCACCAGAGGTGGCAGAGTCACCATCAGCGGGAAGCCACGCGGGGGAATTCCTAATGCACGGCAGATGTGAGCAGAACCATGAACACAGAAAGTAGCCATAAAACATTTATTGAGGGGGAGAGGGAGAGAGAGAGAGAGAAGAGAGAAGAGAGAGAGAGAGAGAGAGAGAGAGAGAGACACGTGTGCATGCCAAGGGAACAGGAAGGGAAGAAGGGGCGAGATGGCAGCGGCAGTAAGGTCAGAGGTAATGGGAGTGGGCGTGGCTTGTCCCCCAAAGAGACCGGAGAGCACAACAGCAAGAATTATATGTGTGTGCCATTATGTCTAGTGGGGTTTATATTTTACATGTATGTTGTTGAGGGTAGGTGAAAGGAAAAAGGGAGGAGGCAATAAGTTTTTTAAAAGTTTATCCTGTAAGGATATACCCTGTAATTCTGGTTGGTTTTTATGTTAATGTACAATTTTATATTTTCTTTATTATGGTGCAGCCAACTCCCTAACAGTGGGTCATACAAAACAAAAAAAAACAGTGTTAAATAGCATAGAGAAATGTACCTTTGAATAGCTTTTTAATGCATATGTTTTAATTGATATTTAGGCAGATAATTTATACATTCCCCCCCCCTGAGACAGGGTTTCTCTGTGTAACAGCTCTAGCGGTCCTGGAACTTGCTTTGTGGACCAGGCTGGCCTTGAACTCACAGAGATCCGCCTCCTCAGTGCTGGAATTAAAGGCGTGCACCACCGCTGTCTGATCTTAATACATATAACTGAGCCTTTAGTAGTTTTCATCCTTTTTGACAGTTAAAGGGCTTTACATCCTTTTAATATTTATTCATCGGTTATGTGGCATGAGTGGCTAACTAATTTTTCTGTTCTTTAGTGATTCCTGATATGACAGCCAAATCTGGACCCGTGTAGATGTGAGGAAATGAGCTGTCATTTCAAGGCTGATTACTGCCTCGGGAATAAGAGCCAGATAACTACATTGTGCTCACATTTGTTTTGTTTATAAACATCATAAATTTAATTTTTTCCAAAATACCCACACCAAAGCTTTTGTTCTGAATGTTATAAAAACAAGAAATGTCAGGAAAAAGGGAAATAGCTCTGTGTTCTTGGTTGGTTGGTTGGTTTTGGTTTGATTATTGTCAGCTTGTTTTAGAGCAGAGGATCTCAATTTTCCTAATGCTGTGACCCTTTAATACAGTTCCTTATGTTATGTTGATCCCAGCCATAAAATTATTTTTGTTGTTACTTCATGACTGTAATTTTGCTACTGTTAAGATAATAATGCTAAATATCTGTATTTTCCAATGGTCTTAGATGACCCCTGCTTGGTCCCTGAAGGGGTTGCTATCCATAGGTTCAGAACCAGTTTTAGAGATTGTTTTTCCTTTGTCTTCCTAAATATGTTGGGTTTGTGTTGCATAAGTTTTCTCTGGTCCTAGTATTCTACAGATTAGATGATCATTTAGACGATCATCTGCCTTTTAACTTAGTACAGTATAGTTGCTAAGAGTGACCATATGGTTTCTTGGTACTAAAATCACACAGATACAGTTTCTCAATCTGAAATAGACCAGATTTCTTATTTGTCTGTCCATTGTGTAGTCAAAAAGACGAAATTTAGGTGGAACAGTGACTGAGTGGTGAAGAGCACTGTTTGCTCTTCCAGGAAACCCAGGCTGGATTCCAAGTACCCACATGGCAACCCATCCATCTATAACTCCAACCCCAGGAGATCCAGTGCCTTCTCCTGACCTCTATGGGCACATAAAGGCACAAGACCCATACACATAGTATAAAAATGAACTTTTTTTTAAAAAAGACTTTTGTAATTTAAAAAAAGAGAAAGAACTCAGTTTCAGGCACAGCAAACTGAGATTTTTGGATCTGGCCAGAGATTTATTATTATTAAATCATGTTAAGTAAATAAAAATTGGTTAGTTATATAGTACTGTAAAAATGAAACTGTGGTTTATTTATCCAAAGTTCTACCAGCCATTTGTTTCAGGAAGACATTCACTGAATTAGTCATCTCTGCATATGATGCAGTCCTTATTATTTACAAAATAGGTCAAAGTTCATAATGGAGAAACCAATTGAAATGAAAAGTAACTGCTTTTCATAGACCTTTTTATAGTCAGGCATGGTGGCACACACTTTTAATTAATCCCAGCACTCAGGAGGCAGAGGCAGGCAGATCTCTGAGTTCAAGGCCAGCCTGGTCTATAGCCAGGGATACACAGAGAAATTCTGTCTCGAAAAAGTAACAACAAAGAGACAGAAATCTTTAATACATAAATAAATAAATAAACAAACAAACAAATAAATAAAAAAAAGGTAACAACAAAGGACAGACTTGTTATCTTAATCCCTAGGTCACACTTTGAATTACTAATACTATGCTCTCAGTATTTCCAGGGATGAGGCTGGATCATGAGTCTGAAGCTGGTTTCTCAAGGGGGAAAAATGTTGAAAAAGAACAGCAATTAATGTAATTTAAAGAGGTTGAAGGTAAACGTCAGCAATAGGCTGCATTTTTAGCTCTTTAAAGCTAACACCAAAAAATAATAAAAACAGTAATTTAGGAAGCAGCTGCTCTTAGTTTGCCTGCTCAGCTTTATATTATAGTGATAAATGTGTGTTCTCTTTATATTATAGTGATAAATGTGTGTTCTCATGCTGCTTTCATAGGATAGTGATGAAGAAGATGAGGATGCTGAAAACACTGAGGCTGTGAGCAGTGGGAAAGTCACCAGAAGTCCATCTCCAGCTCCTCCAGAAGAGCACAGTGAGCCGGAGATGACCGAAGAAGAGAAGGAGTATCAGATGGTAAGTGCTGCTTCCTACCATGTGTAATTGTTTGTTGTTTGTTTACAGTAAACTGTTGAGAAGTCTGAAGCAATTGTGAAGTGCCCTCTTGCCACTCAGCAAGAGGGCAACATGCCTAGTGCTGAGAACCTAGTCGAATACCTGGAGCTAGTAAAGTCATGGATCTTGGGTGAGAACCTACAGCTGCTACTTTACTAAGCCAGCATAACCCCTAACAGCATTCTACGTACTTATCCTTATGCCTATAGATGAGTATAGTTCTCACCCTAGTCAAAGAAACTCCTCTTTGCAACAGATAGAGACCAAAACTTGGTAAAAATAGAACAAGAGATTGTATGATGATGCTTAGTTACAACGATAGATGTACAATACAGTTCCCACATCTGTGGCCCAGAAATCGTTGTGGGGGAGAGGACAGAATGGTTGTAAGAGCCAGAGGAACCAAAAGTTTGCTGTGAGATTGTATCTCCTAGAAATGTCAAAGTGGCTTTACCCATGAAGTCTTGTCACCATGGCTACCTAAACAAGACCTGAACAAGGCTAACACCAATAGACATGGTAACATGGAAATGGGAAAGCTCAAGGGGCCTCACCCTTAGACAAAGAACTACATGCAGGTAAGAAATGCTGAGAGCAGGAGAAACGATCTTCCTTAGGGAAGAGCCCCCTAATTGGGTATCCAATATAAAGTCTATTTCAAGTCTATATTAATAACAGCAATATAATTAAATAGCACTTAACTGGGCCAGCAAGTTGGCTCAGTGGATCAAAACGCAGTCATGTAAGTCCTTAGTAAGGACTCATGCTGGAAGGAGAGAAGTGGTTTCAAAATTTGTCTTCTGACGTCTGCACATGTGCCTAACATATACACAGAATAACAAAAATATGAAGCTTGAGGACATTTATTGATTCATTTTTTTAATAGTTTTTTCTTAATGGAAATGTTGAGAATGATTAAAAGACATGGTCTAGGAAGCAGTAGGGAATTGTCTTAGTTACTTTCCTATTGCTTTGATAAGACACCATGACCAAGGCAACAAAAAGAAGTTTATTGGGGACTTAGAGTTTCAGAGCATTAGAATCCATTATGGTGGGGAGCATGATGGCACTCAGGCATGGTGTTTATATCTTGATCCATGAGGGAGAGAGAGAGAGACAGACAGAGACAGACAGAACTGGGAAACCTCCCACCCGTCCTACACGGATCCCTCTTGTGACACATCTCCAGCACGGCCACACCTAATCTTTCCCAAACAGTCCCATTAACTGGGCACCAGGCATTCAAATATGTGAGTCTATGGGGGCCATTCTTACTCAAACTCCCACAGGGATTGAGCAGAGTTAAACATTCTGTGTGTGTCTGGGAGAAAGAGAATTACTAAAGCCTTTTTTCTCTGAAGTGCATTATCACTTGATAAGATTGGAATTTGTCCATAATCTCTGGAACATGGCAATTCACTCTGCTTCCATTTCTATAAATAAGTGATCGTGGGTACAGAAAGTCTGAGGGATGGAGAGTCAGAACTAGTTGTTGATAGTCACACCACAGCTACATTCCATGTTTTGCTCAGATACACTGTACTTTCTATTCTATACTATGTTTCGATATTATTACAGTTTATCAGTATATTTATTAGGCTGGGGAAAAAGGAATCTTTGGCGAAATAGAGTACCATTATTCTTTGTGTTTTGTTTTTCTTATTTCCCCCTACAGAATTTTAGTTTAACCTTGAAATGTGATTTAAGAATCTAGTATTATATTCTTAGCAATATTGTTAAGTGAAAGGTTACTCCTTTCAACTTAAAACTCCTATAGACATTTGTGTGTGTGCGCGCAGAGGCACATGTGTTCGGGGAGTGGTAGGTGTGCATGTGTATGTGCAGGTGGCCAGGCGTGCACATGTGGAAGCCAGAGGTTTATGGTAGGTAGGTGTCTCTAATACTCGCTCTCTATCCTTATTTTTTTTTTCTTCAAGTCAGGGTTTCTCTGTGTTACAGCTCTAGCTATCCTGGAACTTACTTTGTGGATCAGACTGATCTTGAACTCTGAGAGACCCCTGCCTTTGCCTCTGGAGTGCTGGGATTAAAGGCATGCACCACCATTGCCCTGCTCTATTTTATTATTTAATTATCTTTGAGTCAAGTGTTCTCACTGAACCTGACACCAGTTGGTTAGATTTCTTGGCCACCGAGTCCCGAAGATGCCTGCTGTCTCTACTTCTTAGAGCCAGTATTGCAGGTGCATGCTGCCATGCCTGCTTTTTATGTGGATGCTGGGGTCCACACTCAAGCCCTGTGCTTCCACAGTATCTGCTCTACCCCCGGCTCATCTGCCCAGCCACAGAAATTTCCCGTTATATAAGCTTTGACTTCTTGTTTTTAGCAAAAGAATTTATGGCATCTACAGAAGTTTATAGTTTTTATTATTATTATTATTATTTAGAAATAAGGTCTTGCTGTGTGGCCCACGCCATAGCTCCCAATCCTCTTGTCTCTATGCTGAGATTACAGGTTTGCACCAGTACACCAAGCACAAGTGGGTAGTCATTCTTTGATACTTGTGAATTTGAAGTTCTTTTTTTCAAGTGTTAATGTTTTTCAAGATGGTCTATTCTCAGTAATGATTGATCTGATTTTAAAATATCTTAATTTAAAAGGCTTTTCATTTTAATTATTTTGAAAATAATCAAATGTATTGAAATTAAATTGGAAGCCCTATATAAAATATTATTCTTTAGATGTTGCTGACAAAAATGCTTCTAACTGAAATTCTTCTGGACGTCACAGATGAAGAAATTTATTATGTAGCCAAAGATGCACACCGGAAAGCAACGAAAGGTACATTGTGGGTGTTCTTGTTTTTGTTTTTGTAGGGGAATTTTGATTTCATTGGTTATTTTGGACTTTTTTGTTGTCCTCTGGATTTCCATCAACTACTTAAATATTCTCTCCTTGCATGTGTTAACTCTTTGGGAAAGATTCAGTTTGAAGCTGTCATGTTGGAACGCTAGAGTGCTTTGTGTTAGCAGACCTACCTAAGCACAGATAGCATTCATCCTGTAGTCCTCTAACACAGTGTGGAAAATTCCTCAAGCTCAGTATATTTCACTGGTTTTGTTTTTGTTTTTTTAAAAATAGATACCGTGGTATCAATATATAACTTTTTAAATGAATTTTGAATTACATCAAAACTTCAGAGTTTTCAGTTTATCAGTTAAAGTTCTTATCACACTAGTGGCAACCACCTTCCTATATGATTTTAATAACACCTGAAAAACATACAGAAAATATATTATGTGCCATAGGTCATAGAAAGAAATACAGATATACTTACCAACCTTTTTCTTCATTGTAAGCCAATTTCAGCTCACATCAGAATTGTAATTTCAAAGCCAGACATGCTACTGGTTTAAAATGAATGTTATGTTTTTAATGTTTCTTCTCTCCCCAAAAAGCAGCAATAGTGGTAGATTTAACAATACCGTAGACTCTCATGACTATGAAATCGTGGCTATTTGTGTTAACATGTTGTTCCTGTTGTTGATGTGATACAAAGCTCCTGCAAAACAGCTGGCACAGTCCAGTGCACTGGCCTCCCTCACTGGCCTCGGTAAGTGTCTCTGTGTGCGTGTGAGAGGGCTAGAGGGAGACTCACTGCTCTTGTCTTTCTGCTTGTTCTGTGGGAAATGCACTGTTCCTGCTTAGTGGGCGAAACTTAGATGTCAGGTTTGCTTCAGCCTAAAAAAGCTTTATCCACTTTATTTGACTAAAGCATTCATAGTAGAATGATTATAAATGCAATAGTTAATGTAGTTAGTTCATTTGAGTGAGTTGAGTGGAGGATTTCTTCATTAATTGCTCCAGTGTGTAATATATAATACGTAATTATATGTGTTATATATTACATACACATAGTCTGTACTTAATAGGTAGTGGTTTAAACCTTGGTGGTGTCTAAACTGCCTTTCAAAATAACAGCATACATACTTAGGAATTTGCCTAGAGAGTGATGGATTTAATGATTTACCTGAATTGTTTTGGAGCAACTCAGTTTTCAGCTTAGGAAATGGGTTTGTGTTACAGCAGTAGTGATGTGTTCATAATTTGCTATTTGCATGGTATTAAGATTAAAGCTTAAATTTGCCTTTTCCACATGTTAATTTGTGTAAGGAACAAGAGAAATGGGTAGAATGAAATGCCCGTGTAGTTTTGATATACTTCTGGGTGGGGAGTAGTTCACATCATTTCTATACCAGTGAGAATTACAGTATTCTGATTTATTAGAGAAAATTTGCTTAGCACCCTACCTGAACCCAGGAAACTTTGAACAATAAAATAATTAATTTTACAAATATTTTCAGAATCATCCTCAACATTATTCCAGTAGTTGGATTGACTAAACTTGAGTAAGGCTTCATTATTGCCATGTTAAGTGCTTTGTTGGTTTGTGTGGACAATAAAAGAAAGCTATTATTATGATTCCTTGGTGGTGAGAAATCGTCCAAAGAATAAGATATTACTATCACCATTGTCTGAGGATTCTGAGAATTTAATCTTTGAATTTATGCCTCTCCCTACCCGGAATAAGCACATTTTTCCAGGAAAAGGCAATGAAAAAATAAAATTTCTTCTTGGAGCTTTAAAAGTTTTTAGTGGATAATGTGATGTTTTCATATGCTAGAATGAGTTTTATGCACACAGGTGGCCTGGGTGGTTATGGCTCAGGAGACAGTGAAGATGAGAGGAGCGACAGAGGCTCTGAGTCATCTGATACTGACGATGAGGAATTACGGCACCGAATCCGGCAAAAACAGGAAGCTTTTTGGAGAAAAGAAAAAGAACAGCAGCTATTACAAGATAAACAGATGGAAGGTAATCCTAGATTTGTGTAGCTTTTGTGTAGTTTCATATGTGCTTTTTTTGAATGGATTATGCATATTAGTGATTTGAGTCATTAAGGATAGAAATAAAAGCACTTCCCCCTGGAATCATGTAAACAAGAGCAAGTTCCGATTTGAAATCTCTGCTTCATGTTCACTGTGTGTTCTGTCTCTGTTGTGTGAGTCCAAATCTGTCTGTCTCTGTACCTGTGTCTGTCCTTGTGAGACTGATTATCTGTGTCTCTGTCTTTCCCTAGCAAAAGACTTTGCTCTGTAGTTATTGAACAGCACAGAAAATATCCGCTGGGAAAAGAATGGGATACAGAAATTAACAGCCTTTGACAAGGGACCAAGTCACTGGTTCCAACTGATCCCAATGGACCTAGAAAACAAACATCATCTCCTCCTCTGGCCCCCCAGCTGAGGACCAAACCTAGGGCCTTGCACTTGCTAGGCAAGTGCTGTACCACCGAACTAAATCCCCAACCCCACATTTATCAGCTTTTGTGATCAATTTTAGGAAGTTGCTTTCAACTCTGCGTTTGCAGTTTTCAGCAAATGATGCACATGCATAGTCTGGGTCAGGAGAATAGTAGAAGAGTAGTCATTTAAGATTACAGCTCTGTATTAGCTTAGGTTGTGAAAGTTCATTGCATGGGCAATCCAAGGCAAGTAAAGTTGATTGTTCTATTTTCCGTTTAAAAGCAGGTTAACCAAATAGTCTGAGTCTGAGTATACAGCAGTCTTATGTCCTAAATGACCTCAGGGTGTGTTATTAACCTTGGCTGTGAGGTCCAGCAAAAGCTCCAGTCTCTGAGAATGTAAGAGATAGCTTTATAATATTGTAGCACCACAGTTTTAGTTTTACACCAAGTAGAGATATTGTAGGATAGAACTGGAGGCTTCATTTTAAGTGGTATGATAACAGCTGAGATTAAGATCATACTGTATTTTTTATTTTGTTTCAGTTTGTTGTAGGAGCCATTCATCCCTGTGATCATAAACCAGGCTCTTTAGATATCTTTATTTTGTACTGGACAAAGGGGAAACCTCTGCATTTTGATCCTCTTACTGTACTGTCTAGAATAGTAAATGGCGAACATGTGGCTTTTGAGAACTTGAAATGTAGCTAGCCTTTAACTGAAGTATTGATATAGGAAGATGGCGCTAGACTTCAAAGATTTTCTGTGGAAAAAAAGTCTCAGTTCTTTTTGATTTAGTGTTTGAAATATTAATACTTTTGACATATTAGGTCCATGAAATGTGGAACTTTATTTTTACCATTTTAATGTAGCTGTGGGAAAGTTTTTAATTATTTGGGCGGTCTGTACCCTAATTCTATTAAAAATGAAACTATTATTATAATTTGTTAGTATGGTAGTTTTTCATTTCTTACTTAGCTTTTTTGTGTCTTTTTGTCTTTCTGTTTCAGAAGAAAAGCAGCAAACAGAAAGGGTTACAAAAGAGATGAATGAATTTATTCACAGAGAGTCAAATAGTTTATCACTGCTAGAAGCAAATGAAGCAGACGGTGATGTGGTTAACGAAAAGAAAAGAACTCCAAATGAAGCTCCATCAGCGTTAGAGCCCAAAAGAGAGCATAAAGGGAAAGAGAAAGAACGAAGGAGTAGGTCAGGGAGCAGTAGTAGCGGCAGCTCCAGTAGCAATAGCAGGACTAGCAGCAGTAGCAGCTCCGTCTCCAGTTCTTCATACAGCTCCAGCTCAGGCAGCAGCTGCACGTCCTCTCGCTCCTCTTCTCCTAAAAGAAAAAAGAGACATAGTAGGAGCAGGTCTCCCACAATGAAAGCTAGGCGGAGCAGGAGCAGGAGCTACTCTCGCAGAGTTAAAATAGACAGCAGTAGGACTAGAGTGAAGCTGCGAGACAGGAGGAGATCTAATAGAAGTAGCATTGAAAGAGAAAGACGAAGAAACCGGAGTCCTTCCCGAGACAGACGTAGAAGCAGAAGTCGCTCAAGGGATAGACGAGCCAATCGTTCCAGTCGCAGTAGGAGTCGAGATAGGCGTAAAATTGAGGATCCACGTGGAAATCTTAGTGGGAGCAGTCATAAGCATAAAGGTGAGGCTAAAGAACAAGACAGGAAAAAGGAGAGGAGTCGAAGTGTAGATAAAGACAGGAGAAAAAAAGACAAAGAAAGGGACCGTGAACAGGATAAACGAAAAGAGAAACAGAAAAGGGAAGAAAAAGATTTTAAATTCAGTAGTCAGGATGATCGGCTAAAAAGGAAGCGAGAAAGTGAGAGAATCTTCTGTAGGAGTGGTTCTATATCTGTTAAAGTCATAAGACATGACTCTAGACAGGACAGTAAGAAAAGTGCTACCAAAGACAGTAAAAAGCATTCAGGTTCTGATTCTAGTGGAAGGAGCAGTTCTGAATCCCCTGGAAGTAGCAAAGAAAAGAAGGCTAAGAAGCCTAAACATAGTCGATCGCGCTCCATGGAGAAATCTCAAAGGTCTGGTAAGAAGGCAAGCCGCAAACACAAGTCTAAGTCCCGATCAAGGTAGTATACTTTTTAAAGTATTTTGTCTGCTTTTTTTTTTTTTAAGTTTTTTGAATTTATTCAAAGTTGAAAGTGTCCTTTCTCTCTCTCTCTTTATAAACTCAGTTTGGTATTTGTTAAATATTTTTAAATAATGTTAGAAATCCTATATAACAGTATTTATTTATATTGCAGATTTTAAGTATAAATACATTTTTATTTTTAAATTTTGTCTTTTCCCATTTTTTTTTTCCAGATCAACAACCCCTCCCCGTCGTAAGCGCTGAGGAATGATGTGGCAAGAGCCATGACGCTGTTTTAAAAATTCCATGAGTTTTAAGGGCTTGTCTCATTATAGAGGCACATTGTGGCTGTGTAGGTGAAACCAGATTTTTTTTTAAATTGTGTAAATAGGTGTCTTTTTCCAAATGCTGCTCCAAGTTAATAGGATTTCTTTGTATTACATTTTTTCAAGAAATAGTACATAATAAGACTATAAATATGCCATTCTCTTTCAGCTGTATTGTTCTTAAAATTATTCCTGAATGTACTGTGATGTCAATAAAGCTCTTCAGTTCATTTTTGTTAAACTCTTGCACATTAATTTTATGATTTTAACCTAAGGAACGTACTTTTATTAAAAAGGCAGCTGAAGTTTTGTACAACAGGTTTTAAAAGTTCCTCACATCTTCCCCAAAGAAAATGGTTTTAACCTAATAGTTTGTCAGAGTTTGTAAATTATGCCCATGGACTTTTGTCAAATTCCAGTTTTAAGGCTGTGGGAAAGGGCCAGAAAACAACCTTACTTTTCATTTGAAGGCATCTGATCAGCTTTCTAAACTATATTTTTGGGGGGCAGGGCTCAAGTAATATATTCTCTATGTGTATAAAATGTGATTCACTCCTGTAAAATGAAATTGCTGAAAACAATCAGGCCATTGCACCAGTAGAGTTCTTTGTAATGAATATTTGACACCAATAGTCAAGTCTGGAACTATATAGTCACTTCTGTTTTACATGCATAACACCTTGGGGTTACCATAGAAATAGGACTTAGGATTCACTATATCTATATTTTTGAACTGTAATATGGCCTCAGCTTAATGGAGGAATACTGTATTATGCAGGATTGTGTTGATTACGTAGCATTAAAATGGTCTGATTTTGTCAGTTTCCAAAAATTAGGACCCATGAGTGGTCTGTGTGAGCCACGGCTTCATGAGTAGTGGGCATTCTGACAGGCACTCAGCTGCCTTGGGGTGTGAGTTTTTAAGACGATACACTTAAGCAGTGATAGACGGATCTCTGGAAACAATGCTTTTAAATTACAGCTGGAAAGAGGAGTGCATGTGCAGAATGCAGAGGAGGTTTGAAGTATTATGCTTTCCTACCAGCAATAGTTCACTTTCAAAATAATGCCAGATTTTTGCCAAGATCAGTGTTTCCTCAAAGTGAAGACAGACATAGACTTGTTTGTGTACGCTTGTACCTCGACATAGCATCTTAATTTTGAGCAGTTATGCATTTATCTAAAGGAATAAATCTGTGAATAAATGCATGTTTACCACAATGGCTGTTTACAGTGCATTTAGTTCCAATATTTATAGTTGCCATTTCACAGAATAAATAGTTTGGAGTTTTATATAGTTTACTCATCAGTAACACCTGGAGACAAAATGTGCAATATTTTTATGTAGGTAAGCTAACACAGTGTACCTAATTGAAGAATTCTGATTAATTTGTAACAGATAAGTTGTATAAAATTTTCATATCTTAAAGTGTTTTAGATCAATCTTCAAGTGAAATATTATTTTCAAAATAAAATTCTACTGAAAAATTTTGCTGGCTATGATACATACATTTTTAGACATACAAATGAGAGCCAAAAGGAATTTGCCAGTTTTATTTAATAATTTGCATGCTTTTTATCAGGTACACCTGTTGTATTTGTCAGATTTTTGTGGAAAATCCATTGTTTCTTTTACATGTGACATAGTGTTTATATGAGTGGGAAAATAATTGTAGAGTAGAGCTTGCATAATTAAGGATGTGAATGCTAAGTCATACATGAAAGCTAATTAGATGTAACTTTGGGTATGGATCCTTTAAAAAGTGACACTTTCAAAAAATGAATACCTTCAATTTTTGAGACATTGAGTCTGGATTGGTTAATCAGAGTTGTTTTTAAGAGATTCTCTTGAAAGGCTGGAAAGATGGCTCAGTGGTTAAACACTTGCTGCAGCTTTTAAAGAGGACCCAGCTTTGTTTCCCAGCACCCATTCTAGGCCGTTCACAGTCTGCTATAAGTCTAGGCCCGGGGGTAAGACACCTTCTCTAGCCCATACGTGACACACATACATAGCATAGATTAGGAAGAGACGTGGATTGATTCTCTTCAGGGCTATGGATTGCCTTAGCAGGTAAAGGTACTTGTCATAAATCTTGGTGACCTGAGTTTAATGCTCAGACCCCAGTGGTAGAAAGAGAGAACCAACTCTGAAAAGCTGTTCTATCAACCCTTGTTCATAGCTTAAAGTGTTTTAGATCAATCTTCAAGTCAAATACTGTTTTCACTTTAATGATACTACTGTTGTGAGTATTAATATTTTTAAAGCTGAGATGATACTGTTCATTAACCCTCCCACACTTGCATTGTGTGTGCTGCACATCACAGTAATCCTTCTAAGAGATTCTCTCTAGTGTAGGAATCAGTTGTTGTGGAATACCCCCTGAAAATAATGTAATTTGGAAAAGAAAATTAGAAGATTTGTTTCAGGCCCCACATAAATACTGGCATTTTCATTAATGTGTATGTCTTCTGCCTTTGTAGACTATCTTGTTGATTGATTTTTCTTTTCTTTCTTTGGTTTTTCAAGAAAGCGTTTCTCAGTATTTCTCAGGCTATCTTACCAGGCTGGTCTCAAACTCGGAGACCCACTTGCCTCTGCCTCCCGCGTGCTAGGATTAAAGGCATGCGCTACTAACTGCCCAATTTAAAAAAAAATATATTTAATGTATTGAATTTTGTTTTTGTTTACTGGGTTCCTCCCACCCCCCAAGATGGGGTTTCTCTGTATAGCTTTGCAGCCTGTCCTGGATGTAGACCAGGTTGGGCTTGCCCTCACAGAGATCCCTCTGCCTTTGCCTCCTGAGTGCTGGGATTAAAGACATGTGCTGCCACCACCCGGACATACTGAAATTTCTAAACTGAACTAATAATAAATATATACTCTGTGCCCTAGGTGGGGAGTTACCGGTGGTTGGTGATGAGTCATACTGTGGGTGCTGAAAACTGAATGTGGGTCCTCCTCAACCATTTCTCCAGTTTCCCCTTCAAGTTCAGTTTTAAATAGAATTGCTATGAGAGTTTTTCAGAGTTATCAAGTGATAAGGATTTTAAATCTTTATGAGTAAATACGAAAACCCATTCAACTGAGTGGATGTAGTAGTAGATTGTGAAAGAATAAAACTTTTATAGACATTAATAGACATTTTTATAAAAAAAACTATAGAAAACACATTAAGGAATGCTAAATAGGTATTGACTTTTCTAGAATATGTATAAGCTAGTTTACAGTTTGTTCTTAGGTTAGACTAGAGTTACTCTAGGAAATCTCTAACAGTGACCACATACGGCAGTAGAGTCAACGTGGTTTCATTTCTGACACAGCTCAGGCTTAACTTACAGAAAGCTTTCTGTTGATGTGTTGGGGTTTAGAAAGCTCTTTGCTTCCTCTAGTATTTAAGGCACTCACTGGGTGCCTTTGTTGAAGTGAGACTGGGAAGGCTGTGAAGCTGTGTGGTGTACATTTAATGTAAGTAGGTTTACGGGAAGTCCTTAGAATCTAAACCATGTTTGCACTATTGATTTTCCTTGGATCTGTCAATCCAACAAAAACATAAGACATGTTAACTTTTGTGTATCACTTTCCGCCCTCATCTGGAGACATGACTTCTCCAGACACAGGGCTCTGAATGTGCTCCAGCAGCTGCAAAGCCTGCTGCAGCTAGCATGATAGTTAGCTCAGGATATGTAAATGAGAACTTACTAAATCTCACTGATTCAAAGAATGACACTGCCTGTTGCAAATGTAGAATGATGCCCTAAGTTTTAGGAATTTACTCTTTTTATGAGGAAGGGCTCTGTTTTTTTAAACTGCCTGGTTTGTTTTCTGTTGCTATGATCAAACATCAGCCAAAAAGCAATTTGAGAAAAGGATTTAGAGATTCCAGTCCATCATTGAGGGAAGCCAGGGCAGGATCTATAAGTGAGAGCTGCTTACTTATTGGGCTTTCTGATACAACCCAGGACCACTTGCCCGAGGGCTGGACCCTCCCACGTTAGTCAATCAAGAAAATGCCCCACTTCCATACCCACTGACCACTCTAATGAAGGCAATTCAAGTGAGGCGCCACATTCCCTGGTGACTCTTAAAGTGTTAAAGTTGACAAAAAATAACTAGCATGTGCAGTCAGAAGGAAAATGTTATGTACTGATCTGTTTGTCTAAAGTAGTGTTTTCTGCTACATAGGGCGTATCCTATACAGAATATAAAGTCAGTTTCAAAAAATGTACTTTAAATTTGGACTTCTGTTCTCTGTGATACCTGAGAGAAAGAGTTCTGCTGTCGGAAGAAGTGCGTCCATACTTAGTGATTTTGAGTACTAGAGTCAGGGTCTTCCAGAAACACATCTCTTGAAAAGTAACTTGGTAAATACGAAATCCGCACACAGTGATACGTAGGGGAGATAAGTAGGGATAGAAGATCTTCATGGGCTTTCTGTACTATAAGAAAGATTTTATTGTTTCATTGAAGACATTTGGTAGATGAGCTCGAATTAACAGTGGTCCCAAACTCACATTAACTAATGTAAATGCAAAAGTCGGCAGCAGATGGCGAGTGTGGGCATCGGAACTCTTTTGTTGGGGATTTGTTGTGTGGAGGGACCGGAAAAGGAGTGGGATTCTTGTCGCGATGTGGAGCGGTCGAAGGCTGAGCTCTTGTGGGGTTCGTTTTTTAGAAACGCTTGGCTCTGGGTGTCCCAGCGCAGTAGCCGAACCTCCTCGTGTGACTTCACGGTCGGGTGAGTGTCGCTGCGATTTTTCCGCAACCTTCCTTTGCCGCTGGCGGTCTGCGCAAGCGCGGCAGAGAGCGGCGGGCAGTCGCGGGCTCCACGCTGGTTCAGCTTCCAAACAGTACCTTGCGGCCACCGTCTCACCCTGGTTGTCCTTCAGTACTAGGTGTTGCCCTCCCCGGTAGTATCTCCAGTTCGCAGAAGTCGAGAAAAAACTGAGAACTAAGAATCTGGGCGGCGGGGAGGGTTTCCCGTGGGCCGCCGCCATGGGGCCTCAACCTTTGACCTGTTATATTTGAACTCTGAGCTTCTGCCCCCGGGAACCCCCAGTCGTCTTGCTGGACCCTGAGGTGGTGCTCGCTATTCTTACCAGATCAAGAAAGACACACCTGCTGATTACGTAGCACCGGGTCACGTCTTTGTTGCTCAATATCTTACCACCTCCGCCAAAGACTTGAAGGCTTTTGTGCTCTTTTGTTTTCCTCTAACAGCCCTGGCTCCGGAGACCAGGCTG